TGTTTTGAAATATATACAAATGAATATCCTAATGCATTAGGTAATGGGTTGCAACCACATGAGATCAGAAAACTCATTGAGAAGGTTCCTCCATATACATGACAACCGTAAAATATTTTAGGATTACACTGCATCATCAGTGTATTTTAATTTATAAAAACCTGCTAAAGCATTGTCTATAAAATGGATGAACAACACCATTTTTACAAATAAAAATTATTGAAACAAAAATTTTAGAATACTATGACCGATCCTAATTTTTGACATTTGGGGCAATCTAATTTGCAATGCTTGTTAGAGAGAAATATACTGCAAGGGCCATTTAAAAAAATGTATCTGCCCCTTACAAGGTAAATATTTTAAGTTCATTCTCAAAAAGAAAGCCTGCTACCAAATCCACTTAATTAACCTGAATGTAAGTTAGCCTCACTGGAACCTTACTTTTGGATATTATGTATGTTGTCACATGACAGGGGCTGTATGGACAAGTTAAGAATTTTCTTTTGCAAGAATTAACTATGCATTGCAGGCTCTAGCTACAGAAGAGACTGGTGAGTAGTTAAGACTGTCCCGCTTTTATTTGTGATTCCTTTTTGATCTAGATAGCTTAACTGGGTATCTTTAGTTTAAAACTTAACAGAAAGGTAAAAGATAATTTACCCTTAAGATGGAAGCTTTTCTCATACGTAGTATGGCTAGAAAAATCTCTCTCAATTAGGACACAGCCAAAAAGGTTAATGAGGCACTTGCTGGAGACCCAAAATGCAGTGGAAATTAGAACACTGTCTACAAAAGCTCAGGAAAGGGATTCAATTAGTCTTGACATAACCTTCATCCTTCAGTACTGTTTGATACAGAAAGAAATCCATTTTGAAGTACACTCAGAGTTCTGTTACCAAGCTCTATGTTCAGCCTTTTGCACCTTGCCTTCCTACTAAAATGTATTACAATTACCTTACTTGCACCATTGACTCATTGTAATTTTCCCAAATGCCTGACTCTTGATGGTAAATGGAATAGTATAATTTAATTTTCTCCAACACAAGCAAATTTTAATGAAGGAGTATCAAAGGAAATAAGACTAGATTAGCTTTTAAAAAAAGATAGTCTTCCAGTTAAACAAAATAATCTTGGTTACAAAAAAAAATCTGTTTCATCCAGCTGTGATATGGTGGGGATATATACAGACAATAGTAAATTTAATACACAACTCAAAGCATTTTTAACAGCCTTAACACACTAGTCTCAAAACATACCAAATCACACTGACTAGCCATTTTACCAGGAAATTCTGGGGGTAAAGACTAATGCTATGTCAGTGGATAATAAAAAAACCGAGTTTGACATGCTACTATTAACACCACCAAACATATTAATCTGGTGGAAAACGAGATAACCGCATTAACTGAGACTAGAACTACAACACATAGTAGCAAGAGCATTTGTGTCCACTGCACTTTTTTCTCCATCAGGACCCACTGATTGTCTTCTAGCAAAAAAGGACATTGCAATTACCATTAACAGAAAATCCTGGCTCACCTAGTTTGCAGACACACCTGTTATAGAAAGGGAAAGCATGTGGAAAGCATTTCAGTGTGAAACTAGTCATCCTTGGAAACATTCAGGTTTCACATTAAAGGGCTGTCCAATATAGCAAGGAAATTCATCTGTCCTTATCTAAAACGCTCATTGTGTTTAACATTCTGACATGGCACCATGAAGTGGGTTCTCTTGGCCACAGGGTGATGACATTCTAAATGGTTGTGCATTCTATGCATTCTGGGAAGCCATTTGCAAAATAAGTCTTCATGTAGAAAGGCCCATTCAACCTATTAGCTCTTTTATCATATTTCCTATTAATGCCTCAGGAATTATATTTTTATTTATGTACGGCTAGCAAAATCAATATTTACAGTTAAGGCTTGTTTTGGACAGATGAATATGGATTTCTCTTCTGAAACACTGTTCTTTCAATAGCAAATTATTTAAGCAAGAACTTGGTTTCAGTCATGAATCTAAAGCTAGCCAGGCTGAAGGCACCACTCACACTTCCGGGTTGCTACAATGAATCCAAGACATCTTTTCAGATTTGGATGCATCCTTGACTGATTTTAAGGATCAGTCACATTAAACATTTTGACCTCAGATAGGGAGAAGGCTCTTATCTACAAAAATGAAGTGCTTCAAGGTGTAGACTAGAGCCACTAATATTATATAGAGAATTACCAAACTCAAATATTCAAATGAGTCACTCCTCTCCTCCCAAATTTTATTTATTTAAATGTCTCTTGATTTAAAAAAAAAAAAATGTATGGTTCTTTTCCTTCTAGTTTCTGAGCCTTTAGGACTCATGTATTCAAGTGTTTACCTGCAACTAGGATGACTAGAAATTTATATTTTTAAAGCTAAGATTCTAACCTATCACATGCCTCCAAGATCTTATGATAAAAATAATGAGTTGGCAACGTTGGATTTGGTAACTATTTGGGGAAAAACAATTTTAACACTTTCCTAAGATATTTAGAACTCAACTACCACTAGGCCTCAGAAACCAGAGCATATATAATGAATAGTTCTGTTATTCTGATGGGTGTAACTGGGACTCTAGGATTTCCTTCTAAAATGTATTTAAAAGTACCCTTAGCAGGGGATATTGAAATGCTTGCTAGCTGTAACTTTTATAAAGATTCCTTCCTTTGCCTAACAGCTTACTGAATCAACTGTAAAATCTTATTGGAAGCTTCAAACTTTAATGAATGACCAAGTGTTAACGGTTCTAGCAAATATATAATACCATGAAGACTTTACATGTAGGGCCTGATCCAAAGCCCTCTGCAGAGGAGCCTTTCCCCAACAACTCAGTTGTCTCTATCAAAAGATAACTAATTGCTTTGCTTATACAGGCAGTCCCCGACTTACGCCGGATCCGCACTTACGAACTGGGCTCTCTCGCCCCGGAGGTCGAGGTGGCGGATTGCTACCTGCGAGCTCCGGGGCGAGAAAGCCCCGTTCGTAAGCTGCTCCGGTGCCCCTGGTCTGCTGGAGACCGTCTCTAGCAGACCAGGGGCACCGGGCGGGTTCCCGCGCTTCTGAGGCTTTGCTTCTGAGGCTTTGCTGCTGAGGCCAGAGCAAAGCCTCAGAAGC